GCCACTTGGTGTCAAGGCTCAGACGCCGAGAGGCTACACATTTGCGTGCACTCGGCGTGAAGAGGTTAATGACAGGCAGTTGAACAAGATAGTTGACTAGTAAAGTTCTACATAACATGTTAAATGTATGACCAAGCTAAGAGTCATAGCATAAGTTATGACAATTGTGAATGATCACTAGACATGTACATGTATATCTTTGTATTGTCCTTACTGATGATTGTAGTGAAGTGTGATACTTTAGAATATAAAACTAAATGTTTTTAAGTGTTTTTGTTAACACAGAAGGAACTAGATCTGTTCCTAGAAGTTTTCCAAGATCTGTATGGGAATGAACAAGAGGTTGAAATAGAAAAATCAACATATAATGTTGCACAAATATGTATATGCACAAATGTTATGAATCTGTTATGTCATCTCAACCATGGTGAATTATTGATAACTTTTGATGGACGTCCTTTAATGAAAATCCACGTGATAATTAATGTATTAATTGATATGAGCTCATTTAATATGGGTGATAGAGTGTATTCATAAATCAACAATATAATGGACATATGATTTTGTTTTGTTGCAAACTATTCATTTTTTTCTAGGAAGGAAATGTAATTATAACCCACTAAGACCTTTTCATTTTGTTTAGTTCCTAGATTGTACTAAACAGCATCAATCCACCTCTCTGGTATGGTTTGATGTCCATGAACTAAAGACAAATATTAGAGCCTCCATGGATAACTTGCATTGTTTAATTGTTGATATTTTTATGTAACATATGAATGTGATGAAAGTTGCCGTTAGAACTAATTGTAAACTGAGAAGCTAATAATTTTGACGTTGCATTAAGGGTATTTAAGAGTTTTTTCTCCGATTAAGTTAAATCCAAAACAGTAGAGAAAAATACTAATACTAGTGTCTGATCAACAGTAATATTGTATTACATCTGGAATAATTTTCATATTTATGATGCTTTGAAGGGTGTATGAATACCCAAATAATTATACAGAAATGTGGTTTTATATCCTCCTGTACTGCTCCCGTATCCTGTGTGTGTTCAAGATAGATTATGGTGGCATGTACTTTGGTACATTCTGCCATAATCATCGTAGTGGAACTGTAAGGCAGAACCACTGGTGGAGTGAAAAACAGAATCCACAGGATGTGCACAGTACAGGGAGAGAAAGGGTAATACTACAGTAAAGATTTAACTTGTTTTTTACACACAACTAGTATCTGTTTTGAATGACATTTTACTACATGAATGACAGCTTGAATTTAAGGCAGCCATACCATTTTGGTTTATTACAATGGATGCAAATTTTAAAATAAGTCCTTTAAAATAAGGTGCTCTAAATATTGATATATATACTTTGCAATATCTGACACTCAGCTATTCTTTGGCCACCACTTTTAATAAATTTGAAAACATTTTTGTAAATTTGCTTGTTAAATCATTATAAAATAAAATAAGTTCCCAGGTTTGGTTTTCCTCAACCCTCCCCAATTGCTTTGTGTGTGAGACCGGCATGTAGAATATGATGACACATTATGCATGGGCAGTATGTACACACATACTGGGGTCAGTGTACACAAGAGCCAGTTAGCCTGCCAGAATGTCTTTAGAATGTGGGTGGAGACCAGAGCACACAGAGGAAAACACACATGTAAAGTGTAGGCCTATAGTTTCATTGTTTAGTTTACAGAGACAGTGTAGAGTTTAGGTGGTAGATGGGTGATGTTCCTGTAACAATATTTCACCGTTAACAAAAAAAAAAAAATGCAGAGTTTTTCTTTTAGTGCTAGGTCAGGTCACTGGGGATCATGGATTTACCTTTCAGAAATCTATAATGGGCTATATGGGCAAAGTTGTTAATTATGGAATTATGGACAGTCTTGATGTCAACCAGAAGCATGTTTGAGAAAGGAGACAAATGGTTTTGACAGCAGCAACAGTCAAGAAAGACTTTGCCACCTAGCAAACTGTTTGTGCAAGATCCACCTGCTATGATGGTCAGCTACCTGAACTGTTCTATCTGTCATGATGGTCAAGTCAAAAGTTATTTATTTTTATTTATTTCAGGTACTTATATAGCGCTGCCAATTTTATGCAGTGCTTTACATATATATTGTACATTCACATCAGTCCCTAACCCTCAAGGGGCGTACAATCTAAGGTCCCTAACTCACATTCATACGTACACATACTAGGGCTAATTTAGACAGAATCCAATTCACCTACCAGCACGTCTTTGGAATGTGGGAGGAAACTGAGGAAACCCACGCAGGCACAGGAGAACATGCAAACTCCAAGTGGTGCTGTGGTTGGGATTTGAACCAACAACCCTAGAACTGCCAGGCAGAAGTGCTAATCATTTAGCCACTGTGCTGCCCCTACCATGGTGGTCAAGTGCCTGCACAGTTCTGACTTGTGAACTGTAATAGTCTGGGGGATGAAATAGACTTTATAATGTACAGTTCTTTGAATTCTACAGCTTTGCAATTGCCATGCTGCAGCTGCAACCTGATCATCAGATGTCTAAGACTCTGCTTTGCCAGATATGGAGGACTTTGACAAGTATCTAAACTCTTGAAAAGGAAAGTCTGATGTTCATATCTGCTCCTGTGATTTCAAATTATTGGAAGGAAAAGTTTGGTGTTCTTTTTTTGGTCCAACATGTATTTCTTTTATTTAAATTTTGGATATTTTTTATATTTTTCACCCCTAACACATGATACAATTTTATGTAAGCAAATCAGATAGGGAAAGTAAATATCTACACTCTAGATAGAGAAACTTTAGATCCCCCATTTTTCATTTTAGGCAAATTTACCTGGGGGTGGTGGTAGGATGTACAGTGGAACTCTTTTGCTTACTATAACTAGGTTCTTTCTTTCCACTGTTGACATGTTGCCTTTATGTACGATTGGAGGAATTACAGTATTATACTTGTGAGCCAGGGATGGGGAAGTTGCATACAACATATTTCCTTATTAATGTTGGTCTCACTAATATCTAATAACCTTAAATGACATCAGGCCACAGGAATTTCATTGTAAGCTGACCATATGGACAAGCCAGCCCACTAATCTCTTTTCAGGAATGTGCGATTACAAACTGACCAAGTCCTTAAAAGGTCATTTTGTTGCTTACAAGGACAGTTGGCTGGGGGCTGTCCATAGTCTATATACTACAGTCAGGGCCAGTGCTTCTACTAGGAAAACTAAGCAGCCATCTAGGACACACTGCCACTTCGGGGTGCTTGGGCGCAGCACAGGCTGGATCTCTCGTTGTGTGGGATGCCACCACGTCATGAATGAACCTCCAGGTGAGGAAAGGGATGACAAAGGGCAGGAAAAAAGTACAAAGGAAGATGCTGAGTGTTTTGGGCCAGTGTAGCAGCTGAGCTGCCATTCCTTCCTGTGTTCCTCTCAGACTCAGTCCCTTACTGGAAGCTGCCAGATGCTGATCACTGTAGCATTCCAGTCCTTCTCTTCCCATTCATCAGCGGAGGTGGCGCTGTGCCTGCGGAGTTAGGTAATATCTGACTCTGATGTCTCATGTCTGTGTGAGTGTGACTGGCCAGCCATCCATCACATGCGCAATGTGTCGGTGAATGACAACATCATCACAATCCCAAAGCCTGCTCTTCTAGTGCCTGCTGTGCCTGCAGATCTGTGTGTGTGTGGGATGGGCTGCCTGCTGTCACAGTGCTTCCCCCCCCCCCCCCACTGCCTGGGGATTTCCAGCCTGGGTTCTGTCAGAGTGTGAATCCATCATCCTCCAGTCCATTTATGACAATGATTTTGTCTTTAATATTGGTGCTGGTGACATCTTATGGCACTTATTTTTGCAAATTAAAAGGAAAAGGGACTCCATGGCGAAACAGCATCTTAAATTAAGTATTTTGTTATATTTAATCTGAATCTGTCATTACATTTAACAAATGTTAAACATATTTGTGTGATCTTTCTTTGCACATATCAAATACAACCCCAGAAACATAACAAAACACTATTCACTGCTATTAGCATTATTCATGGCAACAACAATATGCATCTAATTGACAGTTACTGGGGAGGCCAGTAATGCTGCAAAGTGCTCTGGCCAGTGATCTGAGGAGGCCTGTAATGCACAGTGCTCTGGGTCAGTGGTCTGAGAGGACTGTAATACTGCAAAGTGCTCTGGCCGGTGATCTGAGGAGGCCTGTAATGCACAGTGCTCTGGGCCAGTGGTAGGAGAGGACTGTAATATTGCACAGTGCTCTGGCCGGTGGTCTGAGGAGGCCTGTAATGCACAGTGCTCTGGCCGGTGGTCTGAGAGGCCTGTAATGCACAGTGCTCTGGCCGGTTAGAGGACTTGGAAGCCTGTAATGCACACAGTGCTCTGGAAGGTGGTCTGAGGGGAGGCCTGTAATGTACACACTCACGTTTTCATTTGTTGACGAAAGTGGAATTGTCATCATAGTTATCAGCAATTAACGAAAACGTGGGGTACTTTTCATTTAGTTTTTGTCACTGGAAATATGCTTTTGACGAAAATGTTTTAATCGACAAAAATAACACTGGTTGTAAGGTTCTTGCTGATGTATCACTCTATGAAATTTGGAAAATATGGGTTTTCCCTGTATCAATAAGGCAAGTTTCTTAACCACTAGCCTACATGGCACTTATACCCCCTTCCTGCCCAGGCCAATTTTCAACTTTCAGCGCTGTCACACTTTGAATGACAATTGCGCAGTCATGCAACACTGTACTCATATGAAATTTTTATCATTTTTTTTTTTAGACAGATAGAGCTTTCTTTTATTGGTATTTACTCACCTCTGGGTTTTTTATTGTTTGCTAAACAAACCAAAAACCACAGAAAATTTTGAAAAAAAAAAAAGTTTCTTAGCTTTTGTTATAAAATTTTGTAAATAAGTGATTTTTTTCCTTCACTGATGTGCGCTAATGAGGCTGCAGTGATGGGCACTGATAGGTGGCACTGATGAGAAGGCACTGGTAGGAGGCACTGATGGGCATTGACAGGCATCACTGATGGGCACTGAAAGGCAGCACTCATACATGGAACTGATAGGCGGCACTGACTGGCACTGTTAGGTAGCACTGACTGGCAGCACTGATAGGCGGTACTGACATTGATAGGTGGCACTGATAGGTAACACTGAAAGGCAGCTCATATGGGCACTGAAATGTGGCATTGATGTGGCACTGATAGGTGGCATGGATAAGCACTGACAGCTGGCACTGATGGACACTGACAGGTGGCACTGCTGGGGCTACACTGATCATCAGGGCACACTGATCATCAGTGCCCTGATGATCAGTGCACATGCCCCCTCTGAGTAAAGCCGATTACCGGCTCTCCTCTCCTCTCGAGCTGTCAGCATAACAGTTCGTGAGGAGAGAAATGCCGATAACCGGCATTTCCCTAGTTACATATGATAAGCTGTGATTGGACACAGCAGATCACATGACCAAGCCGACATCTTCGGCTCTTTCCGTTGATCGGTGATCTGCTGTGTCCGAGGGACACAGCGCACCACCGATCGCCGCACTGCATGCTCCTGGAGCCATGCATGCGCGGTAAGAATGGGAGGATGTCATATGATGTCCTCCCAGAACGAGAAAACCGCCTTGCGCCCGTCATTACCTTATATAGCGGGCAGAAGGCAGTTAAAGTAGAATTCAAGCATAAACATATCTAGTTTTAAAAATGTCTCCTCCCCCTCCTGACACCTATGCTGGCTAAACTGTATAAAAAAAAAAAAAATGCGTGTACATATCTATTTTCAGCCTGCTGCATTTCAGTCACATGATCTGGATCCCCTGTGCCAGTCAGCAGCAGCTGCAGGGGAGAGGAAGGAGCACCAACAAAAGATGGGCCATGGGAGCCTATTGGTGACATCACCACTCTCAGGCATTCCCAGCCATTATCGAATGCTTCTTCCTCTTTCCTGCACCCACCACTAGCTTGTGGGTGGGGTGGGTGCAGCGTGGTGTGGCGGTAGTGTGTCCGGCTGCAAATGAGAAAACTTTTACTGAAGTAAAATTCCAAAGTTACAACATCCCAGTGGGAGAATGCCTGACTGGGAACACTCAATTCTGTGCAGCAGTGTAGAGGGGAGCAGGTTTTGATGTGCCAACAGCATCTGCCTCAGGGGGCAGACCAGTCTTTGCCCAAGTGGGAGGATTCCTGGACAGGACAGCGTGTTACTACTCATCCTGAACCTTTCCCTACTGCTATTCACTTTCTCTGACAGACAGGTAACCTTTCTCTACACTGTCCCTTCACAAAATGCATGCCAAGGCCAGGAGCCAGGGTCTGAAATAGACTCTGCCTAACCCAAGATGACCACTGGAATCAAATGGTGTGGCAGCATCTAACCAGATCAATTCCCCAGTGACCCAGGAAGCCATAGAGGAGATGTTCCTCTCAACTTCCTCTCCCTCTGCAATGCCGCTGTGTTTTGAGCATCACCTGCAGTGAAGAAAAGAGACTGCACCTGCCTACAAGCTGATCCAGGGGATTGCATCAATGGACCGGAGCAGGCTGAAAATAGATAAGTGTATAGGCATCTTTTGTACACGGGTTAATCAGCATAGGGTTTAGGAGGGTGGAAAGGACATTTTGAAGACTAGATAGGTTTATGCAGGAATTCTACTTTAATTCTAACTTGAGATCTGGGCTAAGAATGTACTTTTTTCACACCGTGTTTCAGATCAGTTTATGTCTTACTTTTACTTTTTTGATTTTAATTAGAGATGAGCTTGGGAACTGAACCTTGGCTGTTTGGATGTTCAGACAAACATCCAAACATTGACCTTCACCTGTCTTACATGATAGTTTCCTGCTTTGCTGTAAATGCTTGTTAAGGATACTGGGTGTGCAGGCACCACCACATTCTTAACAATCAGCTACATCACCAGCCCTATTCCCGGCCATGTAAACGAATGCTATGATTATTTAAAAAAAAAAAAAAAAAAAAAAAAAGCATCGAGTCCCTGTCTTTAGTCATTCTACACTCAGGGGGTTGAGGGAATTGAATTGATAACTTTTCCAAAGTTTAAATTGTGCTGTAAGGAAATAGGTGAAGAGTTCTAGCTTTTGAAAAAAAACAGTAGTTATTACAAAACAGTAAATATTCTTCCAGAGTTTAGTATTATATTATGATAATGGACTGCGATAAATTACAAATGCATTCTGTGTGAACGAACAATCAACATCCTAGAATCTATTTCTCAAACACATCTGAGATATAAATACACTAGTTGTCATTATATATACAATCTCCAGAATTCAGCTTACATGTTTTTCTTACTCCATGCAAAAAAAAAAAAAACCAAAGAATGCTTGAAAAAACCAAAGAATGCTTGAAATGTGAAATATAATTTTGATACCTTTGGTTTACAGGAACTAACGTGTATGATAAAATGTTCAGATTAGGGCATTCATTATGCAGGCCCTTTATAGAGGACTCATTTATATTTGCTTTCTTTAGCCACTTTTATACTGCTATACATTTGAGAACAGTGAAGTGGTAGATGGTTATTTACTCAGTGCCATTTATGAATGATTTCTTCTTTTTTGGGGGTTGTCCTGGCTTTTTTGGGGGTTATTGTGGGGGTTCTCCTGGCTTTTTATTTTAACAGAGAGGAAAGAAGAAATTCTTGGTGTTTTTTCCTTTAGGGCTCTTTTCAGGTCTTAAGCCTACTGCTTTCTGTAAAGTGATTTCTGATGGAATGCTTATCAGAGGGCAGCATAGCAGTAGCTAGCAGGTGTTCAGGAGGCACATATACTGCTTCCTGATACCCGTTTCTTTGCAGCTCAGCCTCCTGTTTTTACTGCACCACCCCCCGACACCAGTGTGAAAGAGCCCTTATATAGCAAAAGAAAATTTAAAAATAGTGGTTATTAAATATCTGTCTTCAAAAATGCGCCCTCTACCCGGCAATGCAAAAAATCACACACATACACACACATATACATATATATATGTGTGTGTGTGTGTGTGTGTGTGATTTTGTGCACACCCGTGGCACCCTGTAGCAGTATACTGTATCTGAAATAGGGCGGTTGGGAAGCGGATAAGAGAGAATTTGTTAACTCCGGGCATACCAACATTTAATCTATTTATTACTGAGGACAAACTTCCTAAACTATTCAAAAGCTCCTCTTCATTGGTGCAGTCTCTGTTTGAGTGCTAGCCAGCATCTCTTAGTTGTACCACCTCAGACCCAGGATGAACTCTTCTTCACCAACCAATCTGGAGACTTTTCTTGAACAGGGGATCTGGCTCCTGCCCCTTTAAATGAAGTGAACAGACACTAATATGGGGCTAGGGGGTGCAGGTGTACTCCTGTACAGCTTGAGAGAGAGAGAATGAATAATAGATGCCTAGTGTTTCTGCTGACCCTTTGATTTTAATTCTTTCTTTGCTAATGTCAAACAACTAAAATGGGAACATCTTTGTGCATGATCAGGGGCGGACTGACCATTTGGAAACTCGGGCACTGCCCGAGGGCCCAGGGACAGTAGGGGGCCCCATGAGATGACCCTGGTACCTTTTTCATAGGCTTTTTTGAGTTTGAGCAAGGACACAGGGGCCTTATGATCCCCTATTGCCCGGGGGGCCAGTAGGGGGCCCCATTAGATGCCCCTGGTACCTTTTTCATAGTTTTTTTTAAGTTTGGGCAAGGACACAGGGGCCCCATGATCCCCTATTGCCCGGGGGCCACATGATTTGTCAGTCCACCCCTGAGCATGATAGCAAGTACTTTTGACAGTTCTCAGTAGTACGTGGCACAACCTGACCTTCATCTGAGAACATAATCAGGAGAAGGATCAGGCTATATTTTTAAATCTTTCACTTGTAAAAGATTACACTGCACTGATATCAACTTAAAGCGGACCTTTCCCCCTTTTACTAAAAATCACATCTGCATAAACCTCTACATAGCGATATGGAATAAAAAAAAAATGTTTGGTTTTACTTACAGTTGAAAAAAATCCCACTTCCTTAAAGCACTGGTGATGTAACATTAGCCTCACAGCTGCATCCTAGAACGTTTCTGTCACATGTTGCTGGAGGGAAGAGTTCCAGGCTGAGTCCCAGAAGTAAAGAGAGATGAATTCATCTGCCCTTAGTGAAAATTGCCACCATGAGAAGAAAGGGGAGGAATAGGAAACAAAAAGGTATGCAAAGAATAAACAACCTGCAATTATATGCAAGTATCTATAGATTACCATTGCTAAATATTTCTGAATGTGACTTTGTTGTAATTTTTATGATAAGGATGAAGTTCCTTGTTAAGCAGTTGACAACAAGTGGTTATTTACATTGGTAACAAACAATTATAATGTCACTTGTAGCCTTATAGGGTGTATAATGAAGTCTTATACTGACCCAATCATTTTTATTTTAAGCATAGCTTGCACTTATGGAGAGCAAGCAGTTGGAGGTGCTCACTGATGCAACACCTCCTGGCAATCACAAGCAAGTGTTGTCGAGGGTCTCTTGTGATGCTGCTGAAGAAAGGCAGTTATCCCCATTTAAACTTTGTGGTTCATGCTCTGTTTAACCATTTCCGATCGCTCTATAGCAGATATACTGCTACAGAGCGGCATGGGTGCACAAAATCACACATATATACGTGATTTCGCATTTCTGGGTAGGGGCACGCACGAGGCACAAGCATGCCCTACCCAGGCCACCATTTGCGGCCGTGGCTGTCGATCACCAGCCGGTGATTACTCGCTGGCGCCCGGTGACTGCCGAGGATCTCCGAAAGGGAGGAGAACTATATGTAAACAAAACAGTTTTCCTCCCTGTCAGCTCATGCACACTGCTTTGGATGGCTGTGCACAGCACAGCCATCCAAAGCAGTGCGATTACAGTGAAGCACACACACAGTACTGTGAAACAGAACACAGCACACAGTTAACCCTTTGATTGCCCTCATGTTAACCCCTTCCTGCCCAGTACCATTAGTACAGTGTCAGTGCTTTTTCTTAGCACTGATCACTGTATTGGTGTCACTGGGGATGTAAGGGACACCAACTCAGTTCCCCCCAGTGTCAGAATGCCCGCTGCTGTCCCACAGTCCCATTATAAGTCGCTGATCATTCCAGTATCTATACCGTCATTTGTAAATCGCTATAACTTTCACGTAAACCAATTAATTTACATCTATTGAGATTTTTGTTGTAGCAAAGACATGTATGTACAAAATGCACTTTGGCCTAAATTTATGAGGAAATTAGATTTTTTAAATTTTTTTACTGGACATGTTTAATAGCAAAAAAGTCAAAAATATTTTTTTTTTTTTTTTCAAAATTATAGGTCTTTTTTTATAGAGCAAACAATAAAAAATGCACAGGCGATCAAATACTACCGAAAGAAAGCTCAATTCATGGGAAAAAAAAATAGTAAATTTCATTTGCATGCAGCATTGCATGACCACGCAATTGTCAAAGTAACGTAGCGCCGTAATGCAAAAAATGGCATGGTCAGGAAGGGAGGGAAATCAGGACG